TCACAAAGCGGGTGCAGCGCTGAACCTCCCGAGGGATACCATGGGAAAGGAACACAGAGCAAAGTCTCTGCCCCCCCCACCCCACACACATCCGCAGCTTCTCCACAGTGTCTGGCAGTTCCGATCCCGAACAACTCCTTGGCTTGCCTTGCTCTCGCCTTGCCTGCCGGTGCCAGCACCACCCTGGCGGCTTGCTTGTGGGTGGGCTGGCCTGTCTCTGACCCAAGCAGCTGCAACTCTGTGGACCATGGAAAGTGGGGCTGGTGGGAGGAAGGTGGACCCCCCCCTCTCTCTCTCTCTCACACACACACACACACACACACATATACCACCATGGTTGAAGCCCTCACAGGAGGTGACCTGGGCCTGTTCCACACCCCTCCACCTACTTCCTGCAGCAGGCGAAGAGGCCGAGCCGCCAGGGGTGGGAATGGGTAGGGGGTGAAAGCAGCCCTTTCTGCCTCTGCCTCCTTGCCAGGTGCCATGGCCTGGAGGCTGCCTTGAGGTAGCAGAGGAGGAGGGATCCTACCCGCCCCCACCTGAGACTGATGGCCCAGGTGAGTAGACTGGGAGCTGAACCTGGGGAGGAAGATGAGCCACGCACAACAAAAGGGCATCCTATGCCCAAGATCAGGGAGGAAAGGGAGCTGCAGGTTGAAAACAATTGGGAACCACTGATGCACGGGATACGCTTTCCAACTTCATTCTGCCCAACTGTGGAAAAAACTTCCACAGACAATACAGAGGGGGCTAACAAACATTACTGTGAAAGGATGGAACAGAATGATACTTGGCTGTTGCACAAGCTGTTTGGTGAGCACAAATCCTTTCATGCACATACTCCAGCCAGTTTTAGCATGTTTGAGGGGCCCTTCAAGAGTGTTGCTGTAGTCTCAGAAGTGGGCTTCTAGCCATCTGAGTTTATTCTTCTGCTGTCCCCTCCATCCATTCTGGGTTTTGCATACATCCCTGGAACAATCAAAGTTGCCGACCCCAGCACTAAGGCACAGTGGAGAGCTAATGTTTCTTATTTCTTAACCAAAACAGATTAACCCTCTGTTGCCTGACATGTCCTTAAACTTTCAAGTTTGAGGTGTAGCTTTTCCACTCCCAGTCCCAATTTGCATTAATCTCAGTGTAGAAATATACCTATGCTGCGGTTACTGCTGAAGAGTGAAGAAGGCCAAATCCACACTAGGGATCATTAAAAAGGGATTGAAAATGAAACAGCCAACATTATAATGCCATTTTACAAAACGGTACAGTTCTGGTTGCTGCACCTCAAAAAAGACATTGTGGAACTGGAAAAGGTGCAGAAGAGAGCAACTAAAATGATGACTGGGCTGGGACACCTCCCTGATGAGGAAAGGCAACTGCATTTGAGGCTCTTTAGTTGAGAGAAAAGGCACCTGAGGGGGGACATGATGGAGATGGATAAAATGATGCAGGGGGTAGATCAAGTGGATAGAGGGAAGCTCTGTTCCCTCTCATGCAATACTAGAACCGAGGGACATCCACACCAATTGAGTGTTGGGAAAGTGAGAACCGACCAAAGAAAGTATTTCTTGACCCAGTGTGCTGTTACTCTGTGGCACTCCTGGCCACAGGATGTGGTGATGGCCTAGATGCCTTGAAAAGGGGAGTGGATAGATTTCTGGAGGAAAAGTCAATTGCAGGTTACAAGCCATGACGGGGATCTATAATCTGCAGGCTTAGAACGAAGGTACCTCAAAACAACACAGAGTGCTGTCCTCTGAAGATGCCGGCCACAGAGACTGGCAAAACGTTAGGAAGAACAACCTTCAGAACACAGCCAAAGAGCTCGAAAAACCCACAACAACCATTAGTACCTCAAAATGCCAGATGCTGGGAAGGGGTATCAGGAGACAGGTCTCTAGTTGTCTCATGGGCTCCCAGAGGCCTCTGGTGGGGCCACTGTGAGATACAGGAAGCTAGACTAGAGGGGGCCTTGGCCTGATCCAGCAGGGCTCTTCTTATGTTCTTATGTAAAAGGAGAAAGGAGGATGTTCGTGCTGAAATTAAGGGATCAAGACATGCACAAGGGAATACTTGATACCCTATGATTCCCCTTTAAAATATGCTCCTGAGAAGAAGCTTCCACTCAAGAGAAACTCTCTTTGCCAAGCAAAATGTCCCAGACCCCACCATAATGCTCTCTCATTATAGCCAAGGTTCAATACTCCTTGACTATCCAAAATCTATTTCAATTCAGAGAATAACTATTTTGTTTTTCTTCCACAGTAGAAAGAAATGCTCTGGATGTACTAGTATATCCAGGTACACACAGTGAGACAAACTCTTACATTAGGAATATTAAACATATCCAGCTTCATTAACATAATGCTGAAAGGCCAAAATGTATCATGATTCTTAAGGATTTCGTTTTTAAATTGGTTAAAGCAATGATTTACATGAAAAAGGAAAACGATTCCTCAATTACCAGAATTGGGACATTCCTGCAGCGCCTTTGCCATCAACGTATTGGCTATGTTTTTCAGGCCAGCTCTGTATTCTAATCGCACAGACTCCAACCACAGGTCTGGGTTCTTATAGACGCCTATAACCAAGGAATCGCACAGACTCCAACCTGTAGGAGGGAAGGTGACCCAGCATTAAGACGTTGTGAAAGCGAGAGAATCCTACAGAAGCACACCAAATAAAACAGAATCCCTGTTGGATTTCGTACTCACCACAGGTCTGGGTTCTTTGGATTCTTTAGACGAGACTTCTCCAAGATGGCCCTGGCTCGGGTGAGCTGGCCAACCTTCTCTTCCAGCCTTGACAACAAAAGCCAAAGGGGTATGGAAGCCGGGCATTTCTTCAGCTGTTGGGGCAAAAGAAGAAAGTTGTGCTAGAAAGAGAACTGGGCAAAATGCAGGAACCTTCTCTTTCAGTGTGAAGATTAAAGTGGTTTCCTTGCCACCACAGAAGAAAAAGAGCAAACAAGAACCCCCTTTTCTTTTGATAAATTTTCCTCATTAGTCTACTACACACTGAGCACATTTTTAGAGATCCTGGCTGAACCAACCAGGCACTTAAAATATCCCTGCAACTTAGTCACTTTCCCAGAACAAGTCATTAATTTTGTAGCAGAGGACTGCTAAAGCTTGGGCATAACAGAAAATGCACAAGAATATTACCCTCCCCCCCCCCAAAAGACATTCAAACATCTGGTAAATTCCTAGCATTTATCTGCAAGGCTGATGCAGTGGCTGGAAAGAGCCTGACTGGGGAAACTGACAATGGCTGCTCTCCTGTTGCTTCACACACTGGGTAGCAGAGATGTTTGTCTCTTTTCCCTCTAAACAGGGCTTGGCGATTAATAAGAGCTTCTGGATAACTGAAGGGCTTAGGTTTCTGGCTGCAGAGCTGGAGATTGGGAGTTTGATTCCCCACTTGTGCCTCCTTGACAGGGGCTGGGCTCAATGATTCATGGAGTCCCATCTAGCTCTGCAGTTCCACAATGATGATGATGATTACAATCTTAATTGTTTGGTGTTTTGTTTCCCCCCCCCCCCCGGTGATCACTGCACACAAAAGACCAGCTAACAACACGCATTAATCACAGTGCCAGATCAGGGTGTTTTCTGTTCAGGGTGTATTGTTGTGATAAGGGTGGGAGATAATCTTCATTCCCCCATCAATGCACACAAAAGACCAGCTAACGACACCCATCACAGTGACAGATCATCTCCCCCCCATCACAGTACATCCATAACAAAAAACACCCTGATCACTATAATCACCCAACCTTCTGAAAATGACAAAAAGCTGATCCCACAGCTATAAGTATTCAACTATCCCACAAACTACACCAGAACACAGAGGTCTAACTCCTGTCCTCAGAAGATGCCAGTCACAGAGACTGGCGAAACGTTAAGAAAAACCTTCAGAACACAGCCAAACAGCCCAAAAAACCCACAATCATTGGATCCCAGCCGTGCAAACCTTAGAGAAAACATACTAAGTCTTAAATGTTTGTGAGGCAGCCCCGCTCCTCCTCAAGCAAGAGGGTGGGGAGCAGAGACAGGAGACAAGTCCCAGCCTTACCCCTTGGTTATAGGCGTCTCGGGCTCTTTCAATCAGTCCTTCCTGCTCCTCAATCTGCCCTTTCATCATCCACAGCTTGGGGAAATCTTCATAGTGCCTCAGTGCTTCCTCACAAAGTTCCTGGGCTGCAACAATGTTCCCAAGCACCCACTCAAGTTTAACAGATTTCATGAATACCTGTGAAGACAGAGGGAGAGAGGGTTGGAGGTGCATTCCTACTTCAGCCTCCGGGTCGCCGCACTACTAGAAAAATGTTTATTTCAACTGATCTTGCACTGGCTTTTGATTCATCAAACTTATTTTAAAGGTGAAGCAATTTGTTTCAAATATCTCTAAAGCCATTTTGGGACAGGTAAGTTAGGAATGTTTCCAGTGTGTCATCAGAATTTAGCTTAGCCGCATTTCCAGCAACGCTTTTCAAATAATCCACTTTCCAAGAGAAATGAAAAATTAGGGAAAGGCAGAAACAGCAGTATTTAGAATAAAATAACATCAATAACAACGTTTTCAGCAGTTATCATGAGCCTGCCTTCATCATCACTGCAGTCCCATGTGCTCCTCTCACCCCTATGGCCCCTGATGACCCAATGACCAGCACAGGTCACCAGGACCCACCAGCGTATTTCAGCAAGTACTAGCTTTGGGTACCATACATCCCCATCAATCATTTTATCAGAGCCTGAGTTTCACTACCGATGAAAACAAAAAAAACCTTACTTTTTCCAAAAGCACACATTTCTAGGTCTACCAGCATTCTATTAATGGATTTGTCATTTACAACACACAGGTGGGCTGAGAAATCAGGAGAAAGGGAGTGTGTCCAAGATGACTATAAGCATGGAAAAAAGGTTATGGATGAAAACTCTGTAGTAGATGCATCAGCAGGAGATGGTACATTATACTTGCAGTCAGACACTGGCACTGAGGGAGAGGCAAGTTACATTAATTGTTAATGAAATTGTTAACTGTTATGTTATGCCAACACCAAGACTAACTCTGCTTTCCATCCACTGCTGCCTGTTCAGAACCATTGCATTACGTGACTTTTGGGCAGCAGGCTGTACACAGAGCCATTATCTCCCTCCAGAACCTAGAGGAGGAAACTCTTATGAGGACTCCAATTGTAATTAGAGAACTCCCATACTTGGGCAAGAGAGAACATGCCTCCCATGCAGAATGCCACAGCTTTAACCCTCCGCACCTTCAGCCAAATGATCTTAATTGTGCAAAATGGGGAAAGACTCTCTGCCTGAGGCTTTGTCGTTGTAATCAGAAGTGGACAGACCACTGAGCCGTGCCGCAGTTCCTTAATCTTAGGAACTGCAGAACTGGAAGGGACCCGATGGATCACAAAGTCCACCCTCTGTCAAGAAAGCACAGTGGGGAACTGAACTCCCAACGTCTGGCTCTGCATAAAGACAAATGCTTGGCCCCATAAAGGCATTTTTACAAGCTCAACACCACCAACTTCACTGCAAGAGCACCCTTGTGGCTTACTCTGGCGGTTGGGGCACTGCTACGAGCCTTCGCCAACAATCTCCTCGCTCGTTCATATTCATTATTTTCAGATTCCAGCTTCACAGCCGCCAGCCAAATCTCTTCACTGTTTGGGTTGGCCTGAAAAACAGAAAAATGTACAAGTACATGAAAGATATGCTGGAAATCCAGGTGAATGTTTAATGGCTTCTTTAATTCCCTGACATCAGGCTCAATCCTAATCTTGCTCTACTCCACTGCAAGTTCTGTTTCGCATTCACTAACTAAGCTCCAGAAATGCCTTACAACACAGCTCTAAGCACAGTCAGGGAATTAGCAATCAACTTCAAATTTTCTCAGTGGAGCTTAGCCATGGAAACCTGAGGATGGATTAGCTGCTGGGCAGAAAAGGGCAAAAAATACGTAAATAAAAATTGGCATATACACAAGAGCAAGATCAGTAGGGAGAACAAACACTTCAAGTTTCATTTTTAAAAAATTAAAATATTTACAAGGGATTATGGCTAGCCTCTCTAAGGAGACTCAGGAAGTGTCAGGGAAACAGCAGTACAGTAGCTCCTTTAGCTCCAAAACAGCCCTGCCAGTTTGCTGAGCCTAATGGGAACGACGGAAACAACGCTACAGATTCTGCCTGGTGCCCACTTCTTTCGTAAGAGAGTGTGAGCAACAAGGAGACTCCCCCTTACAGCTTCCGTCAAGGTTATGACTCAGGAGCCTTAAACCAAGCTGCTGCTGGCTCAGTCACTTTAACTTACAAACAGACACTTCCCTTTAGCAACTGGGCCATTTTTTAAAAGGGGGAGTGACAAATCTGAATGACTCATTTCTCAGTCCTAACTTCTTGAAACTGATATTTTTACCTCCCTTAGTATTGATTTTGTTTTAAAAAAAACCTCACCAGTTATTCTAAACTAAATTTCATCCAATGGATCATAGGAATAATTATAAGAGATACAGTAATTTAAACAAAATTCAACTACTACTTGTATCAACAAACATGTTCATTGGAATCGGGGGGGTGTCAGGGGAAAAAACAGAACTACAGGCTGAAAATAAAATTTTAAGAATATCAGAGCAAATGGCAGGGGGAAGGGTTCTAGCTTAACATGAAAAACTTTTTAGAGGGAAAATGTCATCCTTCCATTCTGAAAACAAATCAAGGTTAAAAAAAGAAAACAATACCAAGGAATTAAATTTTTGTAATGGCAAGAACACAGGATTTTCAGCACACTGTGGATTTTGATGATTAGAAGTTTCATTTATGAATTCTGTCTGCATTATGTTGCCAGGGGAAAAAGGTAAGATTTCCAGTAAAAGAGCTTTCCTCTTATGACATCCTGTCTGGGCTGCATGATGACAGATACAGAGCCAATAGTGCCAAATGAAACACACTCACCTGGAAAGCCAAAGCCAAAATACTCCTGGCAGCAGGTACATCTCCAGCTAGCCACTTCGATTTGGCTCCCATCAGCCAGAGTACTTCAGCTTTGGGACAATGAGCTACAGCCCTCTGCAGGAGAGCCTCCAAGGATTCCCTACAAGGAACCACAAGAGAAACTGTGATGTCAACGGCCAAAATTCTGAATGGTCTGCCAATGGTATGAATTGTTATTGCCACAGAATACAGAGCCAACATCTTTGATTAGTGATATCATCACGGAGATGTAGGACATTCTGAACCACAGCCTTTTCCATTATTCACCTCCGAAACATCACAATCAGTTTAAAGAAAGCAGGTTTTTAAGTAGCTCATCAATAAGTACGAAGGCAAAAAATAAATAACAGTACCTTGAACTCCTGCAAGGTACTGCACATGTGAGCCACAGAGGTACCAATACACCCCTTTCAGCCTTCTGTTTAACACAGAATGAATTAAAGTACAAACGTACTTTCCAAATAGTCCCAAACCCCAAGAATCTTATCAAAAGAATGATGGAAAGATTTTCAGAGATTCTTATAATTTTTCATTAAACTTGTCTGTATATTTAAAAAAAACATTATAAAGCATCCATCAATTTTAAATAGATGCCTTAAGAAGCTGGTCCCACACCACAGATCTGATCGGTGCTACCATTTAGGAAAGGCTGCATAAAATTCAATCAATCAAGGACTGAATCAATGGAAGGGAGTAACTTTTATAAAAATGGCACAAGTCAAAACATTACAGGCCCATGTCACTGAGCATAATCCACAAGGGAAGCTTTACAGTTAAAAGAACAGGGCTGTGAAAAACCACCCACTATCTGATAAAGGATGCTGCTCTCAAGCTACCAAGGAAACATACACACCACAAGCAAAGCAAAGCAAAGCAAAGCAAAACATGCTGTTTATATACCGCCCCATAGTGCTTCAAGCACTCTCTGGGCAGTTTACAAGTCATGCAGGCTACACATTCCCCCCCTCCAGCAAGCTGGGTACTCATTTTACCGACCTTGGAAGGATAGAAGACTGAGTCAATCTTGAGCCGCTACCTAGGATTGAACCCCAGGTTGTGAGCACAGTTTTGGCTGCAGTACAGTGGTTCATCCTCACCATGAAAGTAATATCATCCTAAGCCAATTTGCAGCAGAAGCTGAGGAAATACTACACAGAATGTCATACCTTGTTCCGTTAACCACTGCGCCACGAGGCTCATCCTCACCATGAGAGTAATATCATCCTAAGCCAATTTGCAACAGAAGCTGAGGAAATACTACGCAGAATGTCATACCTTGTTCCATGATTCTTTTCAAAATAGGCTGCTCGCAACCAGACACTCTTCTTGCTTGGAAAAACTTGCAAAGCATAGGCGTATATGGCTCGGGCACACTCCAGGGCATTGTGAGCAACACACTGTGAAAGGGGGGAAAATTGATATAAGAATATCTGAGCTTTTGTGAGAAAGAACCAGGCAAGACAATGCTCATATATTTCACCATAGAGTGATTTTGGAGATTAGTTTCTCTGGCACATTTTAAGACCACAATCAAGATTATTTGGGAGTGCTGAAAAGATCAGTTATCCCACAACATGAGTACACATGTGTGCGTTGAGTCTTCGTTCTTATTCAGGATGATCATTCAGAGCACAGACCTTGGGGCTGATAATTATCAAACCAGTAACTATCCTAAACTAAGTAGTATCATCTGGTTATTAGGGTTAGAGAGATTGTGACACTCATGCCTTAATTAGCAATCCTGGCACATCTGTGCCCCACATCATGGAGCTGAGGCGAACCCCCCCCCCAACTTGAGTTTAAAGTTTCTTGTTCAAGATCTCAACTTACACTATCGGCATCTTCCATCCAAGTGTGCTTCCGGTCCTCCTCTTCAATCCCAATGCCAATCACAGCTCTCATGACTGCCTGGCATGTGGCCACACTTCCTGCTTTATCACACTCCTCAGCATCCTAGAAGCAAAATCATTACAATTCATGCTGAAGCGAGAATTTTTCAGGACTCTCAGGACAGTCAGGGGATGTTGACTACGCTCAGAGGTAGACAAAACACACCATTTTGAAAGATCAGAAAGGGTATGAAAAGTTGCTGCTTTGGTCTTTGGCATTTCCCATTAATAACTGCAATGATAACAAATTACTATAGTCTCTAAAATATGCACGAAATGCTGAAGAAAATCAAATATAAAATCAACATTTACAAACAAATACATGTTTTTGTTTGATTGAAGTGTTGCATGGTTATTGAGAATGACACTAGAAACCACCACATTCGAATTCCGCTACAGACATTAAGCTCACTGAATGACCTTCGGGCAATTGCTCTGTTAGTCTAACATGTCTCACAGATTTCCTGCATGCATCAAGTGGGAAAGGGAAGAAGAATCATGTGCAGAGAGGCAGAGCACTGAGGATGTGCAATACAAAAAGTCATCAGTTTCTTTTTTTTTAAATTACATAATGATCTTTACAGGCGGAAGAACAAAGGAAAACATTTGGCCTATGGAACGAAATTGTCCCAGGAAAGGTGGCTGAATTTCATTGCTTAACCCCACCCTCAATCCACACATGTCCACTAAATTGAGAACAGGACTAGGAAGAAATTTAAATGGAGAAAGGAGACTGTGGAGGTAGGGGATTTGGGCCAATGGAGCTTAATTCCATGTAAGTACAGAACTGGAATCTAACAACTGTTTCAAGGCAATAAAACCTCTCATTCCCTCTTCCATCACACTCCTTGAATCCCATCACTATTAATCACTGCAAACTGCAGGCATCTCTCCTGCTCTTTCCCTCTTAAACCATCCCCCCTGTAGGTTTCTGAAGATTAGCTAGTCTGCAGCATCTTAAGAACTAATAGATTCATCATAACAGTAGATTCTGCAAAAGGTGAAACACACTGGAACCCATTATTTTCCTGCATTTTTACATCTGTGCACACTCCTCTGTCTCGTATTATGACAAGCATATAGCTATGGTCCAAGTGAAGGTCGTTCTTAAATAGGGTTTCCAAAAATAAAATCCAAACAAACACCTGGATCCACTGCTCCCGGTTGATTTCTACTCCATTCGCCCTTAGTGAAGTGATGGCACGGTCAATGATCTTCTCCACCATCTGAGTGTTTCCATTGGCCTCCTCAAGTTTGGCAGCTGTGATCCAGATGTGCCTGTCTGTTGGAATGTTCTCACGGGCCTTGTTTAAGACTTTACGGGCATTCTCATAAGTCTCCAGCCTTGCCAGGGCAAGCCACAACTAAATTGTAAGAGCAGAAAGGCTTATAAATGAGGCAACTGAGATTATCACCATGCAAAAAACATCCTCAACAAGCAGGCTCCCAAACTATCTTCTTTCCAAAATAAATACAGTGGCACCTCACAAGAAATTAATCCATTCCGGGGTTAATGTTGTCTTGCGAGCTGCAGTTTCCCATAGGAATGCATTGAAATTTAATTAATGCGCTCCTATAGGAACTTTTTTTTTAAAAAGTCACTTACCAGTTAGGGAGCTGGGGAAGCACCATCAGAGGACTGGGGGGGGGGCTCACCTGGATCGCCGCCTTAGGAGGTCCTCCAGGGCTTCCCTTGCACCATCGGAAGACTGGCAGGGGTCCCTCCAAGCGGCGAGCGGCACTTGCAGAGGTTTGTCCAGCACCATTTTTCAAGACCGCACCCTTTCCCCCTGCCTTCAGTAAGGCCCCAAGTGGAAAAAGGTTTTTTTCTCCTTTTTCCGTTCAGAGGCTTGCTAAAGGTACTTGCAGAGGCTTGTCCAGCACCATTTTTCAAGATCGCGCCCTTTCCCCCTGCCTTAAGTAAGGCTCCAAGTGGAAAAAGGTTTTTTTTTCCTCCTTTTTCCGTTCAGAGGCTTGCTAAAGGTAGGGGAAAGGGGCGCAATCTTCAAAAATGGTGCTGGCCTAGCCTCTGCAAGCGCATTCGTCCTGTGAAAAATGGCCATAGGAATAGTCTTCTCAGACGCTGGGCTAGCCTCTGCAAGCGCATTCGTCCTGCAAAAAATGGCCATAGGAATAGTCTTCCGAGGCACCAAAGACCTTGCCAGACCCATTCGTCTAGTGAGTCTGTCGTCCAGCGATATAATCACACCACTGTATTGTAAGATTATAAGAAACTGAACATCCAAAAGCAAAAAGGGGCAGCTCTATGAGAAGACCTATACATTTCTCATCCCAGTTAATCATGTCCTACTGCACTGCCAAGGCTCCGTTCAACTCTCTGTCCAACAGAGGGATTTGAAGGGGGAAAACTTCAGAAATTCAACTACAAAATCAGACTCAAGGATATTCACACTGTTGACCTTAACTCAAAAATGCAACTGGTTGTCTGGCTTCCTCTGAACATGCAACTGAAATTGTCACTTGCAGAATGGGATGGTGAATGATGTTCAAAAGCTAGAGTGACTCCTGCTTGTTCCATAACTTTGGTCCTGAGCAAGGGGGGATGTTGCATCAGAAAGAAGCAAAAATGGGGGGGGGCACACAAGCAACCCCACAAAGTGCTTAATCTCTCTTGATCGTAGCTGAAAGGCCACCGCTAGCAGCCCAATGACCATTTATAATTAAATTCTTTTAGCGAATGCACATTTATACATTGAAGTCCACACATTTATTTCCAGAAGGATTCAATGACTAGGATGCATTTACAAAAACATACTCTCTGCATCTGCAACTGCAGCTTTTCCCATCTCAAAACAAGATCCCTGTAGGATACTAACCACCAGTATGGTATTCAAAACACAAAGGAGATTCAGCAAAGTCTAAATTTCTAGCATGCAAAGATGCTGCTAAGACAAAATGCACCCCCAATTACTCATCCTTGTAATTGTAAGAAATGAAGTGGAGGAGGGGAACAGAATGGAGGGACCTTTGTTGTAGTTTATCAAAGAGTATCATTCTTAGCTGGGAGGAGTTTCAACATCATCATTAAATTGTAAATTGGAAGAAGCCACCAAGGGAATTGTGCTCTGCCTCTAGATTTGAATCTCCACCAATACCCAGTCAACTTTCAGCTTAGCCCTAAACTTTCTTATAAGGGACAAGACATGTGTAGGGTCCAACAATGAACAATGATTTCCTAACTTACTTCCACACTAGTCGGACAGCATTCCACAGCTCGGCTGAGCATTATCCTGGCATCCTCAGGCTCTTCCAACTCAACAGCTGCCTTCCACAAGCGGACAGAGTTTGGAACATGTTCAAGGGCTAAACAGGAGGGGGGGAAAGCAAGATAGACAAGAAAAACAAAATGAGCTTCAGAAAGGAACTTTTGGTATGATCACCAAATATAATAAATTCACTACAAGGTAAAGAAATCTGAAGATGCAAGTCACGTATCAATGATCAATACAGAAACTGTTCACAACAGACTCAATTCTAGCTGCAGTGAAACAATCAGCCAATATCATGCCATCCTCCTGCAGTCTAAATAAGCAGAATTTAGCTAAAGCCTTCCAATCATTAGACTAAATTGTCGGCAACTTGGCCTTTATCAATTCTGTAAGCCAGTAAATCTTCTAAAATTAATCTCCATCCTTTGTTCTATGTGAACACCACCTCACTAGAGTGTCAATTTGTGAAAGGGAATGGCTTGAATAGCAGCTGATTTTTTCATTTTCAAAAGGGTGAATCAATTGCTCATCTATGCTCTGTGTAGTCTGCATTTTTTCTTAACAAAAAGCTGAAGTCTTAACCTAATTATTCTGCAGAAGCTTCTGTCGCTGGCATCTGAAGACTTAAAAATGTGGAAAGGGAACAGATTTCCTGTCTTTTCCTCCCTTCATTTTAACATCTTGCCCAAGTTCTGTGGAATTCAAAAAGCTTTTTAAAAAATCTTATGCATTTTGTCTGATTCTAATAAAGTTATTTGTTTCTACATGTTTGGAACGTTTTTATAATGTATGAAAACATCTAACTATAATATCCAAATAGACTTTCCGGAAGTTTAAAGTTGAAAACACAAACCATTATGTGCCCTCAGAACAGATTGTTTCATTGAAATGCAGTACTGCGGCCAAATCTCTATTTGAGTTTGATCCCAATGGATTTAGGTAGCCAGCTCAAGGCTGACTCAGCCTTCTATCCTTTTAAGGTCAGTAAAATTAGCATTCAGATCACAGGGGGAGAGGGGGGGAAAGTGTTTCAAGTATTATTGACAAAGTATCCCAAGTATTATTTATGAATAAATATATGACATATATCCTGTGCTTTCCCATCTTGATGAACCAAGGGGTCACAATGTGTTTTATGGGGAGGGGGGTCGCGGGTTGTTTTATATGTGTTATAGCTAGGGGAAGGATTTCTATAACATGTCATGTTTTTTATGCAGCCTGTGTTTGAACTTCAGTGGGTTTGGACATGTTTATGGGTAATCTAGTGAGAAAGGCCAGATTACTCATGCCCATGTTTGAACTTGCTTAGGGTTACTCATGCACATGTATGAACTTGCTTTGGGTTCAAGTATATGTTGCAGAGAAAGTGTAACATGTCACAGAAATCCTCCCCCAATAGCCCTCATTAAATAATTTCTTCCTTAACCTTTCGGAGTCAGATATTAAAGTTAATGCGCATATGTATGAAAAACATGCCCTTTTGGGGAGAAAAAAGCCTCTACTTTCTGAGATAGAATGACTTTGCCACATTAAAAATGTCTTTTTATGCAAATGTGGTGAGGAAGTTGCAGGTTACTCGTCTATTAGAAAAGGGGGCTGGGACTCAAAAAGGTTGGGAACAACTGTGATAAGCAGAAGTCCAATCAAGGTAAAATCTCATCCTTCATAAATAATGCTAAAGAAGAGATAAGGAAGTGTTACCGTGTTTCCCCCAAAATAAGACAGTGTCTTATATTAATTTTTGCTCCAAAAACACATTAACAGGGGGTGTTTTATTTTTTTCATATGCAACAGTCTACATGTATTCAAATACAGTCATGTCATCTTCTTCTGGTTGCTGCACAAGGATGGAGGGCGGGGTTTCACAACTGGGGCTTATTTTGGGGGTAGGGCTTATATGATAAGCATCCTAAAAAATCCTACTAGGGCTTATTTTCAGGTTAGGTCTCATTTTTGTGGAAACAGGGTATTTATTGCAGCTATGATGGCATGTAGTTATAGCCACACGTATCAGGTACAACTCTGCATACAAAGAGACAGAATGTGATTAATTATACATTTCTTTAATACAGTGGTGCCTCGCTTAGCAATTGCTTCGTTTAACGATGACTTTTTCGGAGCAATCTTGCGCTCCATTTAACGATGGTTCCTATGGGCGATTTTTGCATAGCGATGTTTGGGACCATGCTTCGCATAGTAATGACAGTTTGGGTCCCCGTTTCGCTTAACGATGGTTTTGACAGCCTCATGTTGGCTGTTTTTTAAATTTTTTAAAATGTTTAAAAAATGTTTAGAATGCTTGAAATCATAAGTGCACTTAATAAACCCTTTGTTAAACTAATTTGACTTTGTTCCGACTCTTTTTAAATTTGTTGTAATTTTTCCCCCCATTGAGATGCATTGAATAGGTTTCAATGCATTCCAATTGGGGAACCGTGTTTTGCTTAGCGATGTTTCCTACAGCGATTTTTGCTTAAGGACGGCAATCCGTTCCCATTGGAACGGATTATCCGGTTTTCAATGCATTTTTATAGGAAACCGTGTTTCGCTTAGCAGCGATTTTTTGGGAACCAATTATCATCGTTAAGTGAGGCACCACTGTATACATCTTACCCTCCTTAAAGGAACTTAGCATAGAGTAAACAAGATATCTCAACCTTGCTGTGAAGTTAGTCAATCAAAGAATGTGCTTATATACCACGCGCATAGCACTTAAATCACTCTCTGGGTGGTTTACCATTTAATTATGCAGGCTACGCATTGCCCTGCCCCTCAACCTGCAGAATGGGTACTCAATTTACTGACCTCAGAAAGACGGAAGGCTGAGTCAACCTTGCATTCAAGCAAAGGTCATTCCCCACTCCCCTGTGCTTAATGACTGAATAGGGCCTTTTTGTTCCAAGTCTATACAGTACTTATTTCCTCAGCCCTTAAGATGCAAATCCTCTAATTATGAAATACCTCCCATCTCCCAAATCCCTGCCCCTAAGGTACCACCTTATAGAAGCAGGGCTGAAAGGTGTGCAAAGGGTCATCAAGTCCAACCCTCTGCCAGTGCAAGAAGTCCACTGCACAAGAATCCATAACAACCTCAGTTTAAAATCTGGACTGGATGGGAGTCCAAACACATATACCAGTAGTTGATTCCACTGTCAAATCTTCCTTCCTGTAACGTGAAAACATTACTTGTGGTTCCATCCTCTTTATCCACAAAAAGAAGCCTGCTCCATCTTCTAAGCAACCCTCTTCCAAATACTAGAAAATGCCTACCATATACCTTTTCTTCCCCAGGCTGAATATGCCAAGTTCCTTCAACCTTTCCTCATAAAGCTTGGGTTTCCAAATCTTTTACCATTCTGATTGCCCTATTCTAGACACATTCCAGCTCCTCAGTATCTTTTTAAATTGTGGTGCCCAAAACTAGACATGGTGCTCTAGCTGAGGTCTGACCACAAGAGAATGGAGGAGCACTGTTATTGATAAATCCCAGTACAGTGTCTGCTTTTTCCCCCTGCTGCATCAAACTGTTTGCTCATGTTTAGTTTGTGACCCACTAAGATTGCTGGATCCTTTTCATGTGTATTACAGTACTTCAAAGCCAGCTTCCTCCCCATCCTTTATTTCTGCATCCACTTCTTGTACCCAAGTGCAACAATTTACATTTTTCCTGATTCTGTCATCCAATGTATTTTCTATTTCTCCAAATCTGGTATAATCTGGAAACTTAATGAGAACCCCCTCCATGCCATCATTCAAATCATTTATAAAGATACTGAACAACACTGGCCCTAAGATAGATGTAGCCCTTCACTTGTCATTCCCTTCCAGGATGATGATGAGGCACTGATGACACTAAAATCCACCCCCAGTAGGTCTGGGTTTGTCACACTGATGACACTAAAATCCACCTAATTGTAGCACCATCTAGCCCGCATTTTACCAACCTAGCTATAAGAATATGAGACACCTTATCAAAAGCCTTGCTGAAATCAAAATAGATTACGTCCACAGCATTCCTCTTATTTACCAAGCCTGGGACTCTTATCAAAAAAGAGGTAAGATTAGTCTGGCAGGACTTGTTTTTGAAAATTCTATGCAGAATCTTAAAAATCACAGTGTCTTTTTTTAAGGACTCACAGGCTGACAGCTTAATGATTTGTTCTGGAGCCTTTCCTAGTATTGATGTCAAGCAGACCGGTTGGTAGTTGGCCAGATCTTCTCTCTTCCCCTTTTGGAAATGGGGTAAGACATCTGCCCTCCTCTAGTCTCCAGGGAGACCATTTTCATCTGTTCTCCAAGAGATTTTCAAGATTATAAACAAAGGCTATGCGATTACATTTGCAAGTTCCTTTCACATTCTTGGATGGAGTTCATCTGACCCTGGAGACATACATTCACTCAAGGTGGCTAGATGCTCCCTGACCTCTTTCACACTCTTGATCAACAACCCTCTCATTTCCATGGAGTTCATCTGACCCTGGAGACATACAGTACATTCACTCAAGGTGGCTAGGTGCTCCCTGACCTCTATCACAGTCTTGATCAACAACCCTCTCACTTCTTCCTTAATTCAATTTAATGCTTCCTATTCAGAACTAGGAGCAAAACCAAGAAACTATAGAGACCTTCAGAAATTAGAGGCTTTTGACTCTGTTAAGGAGCAACGTGTATCCAGAGAGACAAGGCAGGTCTATTAACTGTTTAGATCAAAAAGGAAGACCAATCTTTAAACTTTTATCTGGCATTATTTCACTCACCAGTTCAAGAGCTGTTGTAGGTTCAAGTCTTTTCTGACAAAAAGCAGTCAGAAGAGGGGGGGAGGATATAAAGTAGGAAAGAGGCACAGGATCCTCTAGGATGAGCAGTGGCACTGCTCAGCTTAGTTATCACCTTAGAATCAAGAATCATTACTCCTAATCCAACCAGATGCTCTGAACACAGTAAATACCATATTTTTTGCTCCATAAGACGCACCAAATTTTTAGAAGAAAACAGGGAAAAACTAATCTGTTTTCTTTTAAAAATTTGGTGAGCCTTATGGAGAGGTCCGTCTTATGGAATACACCCTAGCCCCCTCTGGCCCCTTGGGGGGGGGAGGAGCCTCCAAAGAGTCCTAGGGTGTGTTCCAGGACCCTTTGGAGGCTCACCCTGCCCCCCCATGGAGCCAGAGGGGGCAAAATCATAACCTTCAGGGACTCTTCTGAAGCTTCCCAAGCCTCAAAAGGGTCCTGGAAGCTGGCAATTTTGCCCCCGCTGGCCCCGTGGGGGGTGGGGGGAGCCTCCGAAGGGTCCTGGAAGGCAGACTCTGAACCTTGGGAGGCTCCCCCCACCCCCCGTGGGGCCAGAGGGAGCAAAATCGCCACCTTAAGGGACTCTTCTGAAGCTTCCCACGCCTCAAAAGAGTCCCAGAAGGTGGCGATTTCGCCCCCTGTGGCCTGGGGGGGCAGATGGGGTGAAATCACCACCTTCTGGGACTCTTCTGAAGCTTCCCAAGCCTCAAGAGTCCCAGAAGGTGGCGATTTAGCCCACACTGGCCCCGTGCGGGGAGCGTCGCAGGGGTCCTGGAAAGCTCACTCGGACCCTTGGGAGGCTCCCCCCAATGGGGCCAGTGCGGGTGAAATCGCCACCTTCACTCCATAAGACGCACAGACTCCCCCCCACTTTTTTGGGGGGGAAGTGCGTCTTATGGAGCAAAAAATACAGTGGTGCCTCGCTTAGCGATGTTAATTCATTCCGAAAAAATCACTGCTAAGTGATTTCATCGCTAAGCGAAAATTGCCCATAGGGACCATCGCTAAACAAAGCGCAAAAATGCTCCGAAAAAGTCATCGCTAAGCAATTTCATCGCTAAATGGAGCGCCGGTTAAGCGAGGCACCACTGTATTTTTTGCTCCATAAGACGCACAGACTCCCCCCCACTTTTTTGGGGGGGAAGTGCGTCTTATGGAGCAAAAAATACAGTGGTGCCTCGCTTAGCGATGTTAATTCATTCCGAAAAAATCACTGCTAAGTGATTTCATCGCTAAGCGAAAATTGCCCATAGGGACCATCGCTAAACAAAGCGCAAAAATGCTCCGAAAAAGTCATCGCTAAGCAATTTCATCGCTAAATGGAGCGCCGGTTAAGCGAGGCACCACTGTACGGTACATACGGTACCTACTTTGAGTCATATTCCAGATTCTACATCTTGCCTGCTTTCTTCATCATCTTCAACCTCCCTTTTCAATAACAAGCCCACCCACTAAAAAGTGAAGAAGGGAGCAGTAGTAGGTACTTGAAGAAATGTGAGGAAGGGTTGGAGAAGACAGCAACAGGAACAGAATTCAGAGCCAGATCACTAGTTCTTGAATTTTAAGGTAAGCCTGTCCTATGAATTCCACCTTTTCCTTTGTTATTCTGCAAAGAAAGGGGGGGAAGAGCTACTAGAATCTGGCACTTTAATGCAACAAGCAAAACACTTGCAATAGCTTTTCAACTGTGTTCTTAAAGTGTCAAGTCAGTGCTATGTCTTTAATTATACTCGCAACAGTCCATGAAAGAAAATAATTACAATATCCTCAGGCATTGAGGCAGCAGTGGATATTCTGAGAATTTACTGCGACAACATTCTGACAAGCTGGCTGTTAACGGTCCTCTATCACATTTATAGCTGCAGCAGGAGGTTCTTCAAGCACTTCCTAAATGCAGAATGACAGGCCCTGATGCTCCGAAACACTGCTCAGCAGGGATCAGCACATTCTTGCAACAAGAGCTTTCAATTTCCGTATGCCTCGATGGAAGGCTCACATGCTGCGGCAATTTTTTGGTCACACCCAGCAAAACAAAACAGAAATAGAACCACCAGAACAAGAGTCCTCTGATAGCAGAACATGGCATTTACCTTTCTGCCAAACAGTAGCTGAAGCCTACAATTAATAGAATTCTAAACAGAAAAAACTGCCCAGCTGCCCAGATCAATTTCTCACGGCCACAAGAAAGAGGCCAGGAGGAGGCTGCAAGATCAAGTGCTCCATTCTCTGAACAAATGGGAAAAGTAGCAAGGCCTTTTGTGTGTTTCAGGAATGGCCTTCACTCTCTGACAAACATCAAGAGATATGATGACATCAATGTTGACCACTGTTAAGCCAGACCAAGTTCCTCAAGGGTCCCGGGCAAAAAACAAGAACATCGCTGCCCTCAAAATAAAAGGACCAGCTCTTAAAACCATCATCAAGTGCTTAGTCTGGCACATCTGTGACCTACAGTGGACCCTTGACTTACAGACGGCTTGACTTACAGACTTTTTGACTTGAGAACCGCCTTCCAATACGGATTAAGTTCTCAAGTCAAGACCCCACTGTACTCACAGCATCCTCTATCACACAGGCAGAGATCGACACTCTAAGAGGACCAGAGGCAGAGGATTTGTGGTCAAGACCCATCCAGCAGGCCATGTATGCCTGGCTTGATCAATGTTATCCCACGCCCAGCCTAGCAAAACCCACTCATAGAAATGTGCCTACCAAACACCAACAGTAACCCTCTGAAGAAGCAGTAACACTGTAGAAGGGCCCACATACTTGTGTTACTTACTATTCTTTTTAAAAAATAATAAAATTACCCAGCGTCACCCAGATTACAACAATCTTTTGTGCAATACATCATAACTTTAATGGAAAGTTATGTAGCTGTCATTGGTTGGACACAATGTGCATGCTATGAGAGAAGCCATCATCACTGGGACCTGCAGACCCTACTCACTCACATGACACACACACACCCAAATACCTGACGGCAGGGAATTCCCAGTCCATGCCCATATTGAGAGAAAAGTCTGAAGTGAGAGAAAACGATGTCCTGTAATTCTGTCCTTCAGTCTTAAAACCCTCACCTACAATGGACTGAACAGCAATATGCTGATTAAGGAAGTCTACCACCCAATCACCACTGAAAATGGTACTCCAGACTTCAACTGCATAAAATCACACAAATTAACCAATATAAAAACAGGTCTAAATGCTAAGTTTCAGGTAAACTTGATTTCAAGGTCTTGAAGGACCATGACTGACACATACACCCCACAAAATAATCTCCAAAAGAACAAATGGAAACATGCTGGATAACTCTGTGGTTTAGGTCTCTGACTACAGAGCCAGAAGTTGGAAATTCGATTTCCCACAGGGCCTCCTTGACAGGGGCTGGATTCGACGATCCAAAGGGTCCCTTCCAAGGTATTCGCGAAGGCTTTCACAGCTGGGATCTAATGGTTGTTGTGGGTTTTTCGGGCTTCTTGGCCATGTTCTGAAGGTGGTTTTTCCTAACGTTTCGCCAGTCTCTGTGGCCGGCATCTTCAGAGGACAGCAAACTGTGCTCTGTTTGCTGTCCTCTGAAGAAGCCGGCCACAGAGACTGGCGAAACGTTAGGAAAAACCACCTTCAGAACATGGCCAAGAAGCCTGAAAAACCCACAACAAGCATTAGGTCCCTTCCAACTTTGCAATTCTAAGGTTATTATCCTTATTCTTATTATCATCATAATTAAAGTGGCTTAAAACATCTGCCATTGCCTAAGAATAAAACAGCATGTGCTCAGTGCTGAAATCGCAAAATAATGAGTGCTAGCTGAAATTTCTTATAGAGAGTATTTAAAAGACAGACAAACACAACTACTGAAAATCTCTCTATTGATCACATATCAAGGAGGAGCAAATAGACATCAGATGCCCCCCCATCAAGCCAATAGGGTTGAGGAAGATAGTCCAACAACTATTTAAAAGGATAAGCAGTAGCATTTCAGCTCAACTTGGAAAAAGACCAAGAAGCAGAGAAGCAGTTCCAATGACATGGTACTCTGCAACCCCGTTCCCACTATTCCAACAAACAGATTTTGAGTTTACTGCCGTTTCTAAACAGGAGTCTCTCACCTTTCCGAAGGACACGCTTCTTTGCTCTAATGTCAGTCTCTAGCTCCGCCGCTCTGATGTAAATCCGGACTGACTGTGGAAGGTGGCGAACAGCCTGGGCCACCACAGCCTTCGCAGTATCCCCAGGCTGCAAGCGGGCAGCTTCCAACCAAACATCTTCACTCTGCAGAAGCAGGGAAATAAAGTCAATAAAATTTAGCAGTAAAAAGGGACCAGAAAATGGGAAGACAGACACAAGAGCGACCTCAGAGCTGCCAGAGTGGCTTGCACAGGGTAGTTTGAAGAGAAAGAAGAATCAAATGATGGAGTGAAGAAGAAAGTAAGACAGAAGCAGGAAATGAATGGAAAGGATAGGAAGATTCTACTTGAAGAAGCAAATTAAAGGAAAGAAGTCTGGGTAGACACAGCTAAGGACTTGTACACCATTAATCCATCTAGTCTAGCATCCATTTCCAACTGTATCCAGCAAAGCTCTCTCCTGAAACTCAAGGTAACAGATTTCCCCTATGGCTAAACCTTCTCTCATCAGAAAATCACCCTAATAGATGGAAGGAAGGTCTACAAAAGTGGACTTGTCTACAAAAGCTCATGTTAAAATACAGCAGTTATTCTTTAAGGTGCCAGAACATTTTTGTCTCATTTTTTATTTTATTGTTTGTTTTTGCCCAAGATGGAAGGAAGAATATATAAAGAGAAGGAAAAATGTTTGCAATGAGTTGGGGGGGGGGATGAGTCAAAGATGACAAGAGGAGCCTGTGAGCGTGGAGAAAGCCTCCAATGAGTATATTAAGCTGCCTGTCATTTCACCTCTGAATTCTTCTCCAGGGAATGTAAATGAGCGGCTGCAGCCAAGCCATGCTACTGTTAGGATCCCTTTCCAGCTACTACTGCTATGACTCTTAAGAATCCAAGAACTACATACGCTGCTCCCGTATAAAGAAAGTTATGGTAGATGGAAGCAAGTTTGAAGAAGAACAGGCTGAAGGAGGACAGAAAGGCTGTTTGAAGAGAATTAAGTAGAAATGAACAGCTGACCAGCGCAGATTCTTAAGACCCAGACTGGGAAACCTATGGCCTTCTGGATGTTGTTGCACTCAAGCTCCTATCAGCTCTAGTCAATGGTGAAGAGTGCCAACAACAGTACATTATTACACTCAGAAGACCAAAGTTTTTTCCACCTATGTTTAAGGATAAATGATAGAAAACAAATCCTTACCTTGGGACACATCTCTGTCCCTTTCATGATGAGATTTCGAGCTACCTGCAGTTTGCCAGTCACTTCTTCTAAGCGTGCAGAAGCAATCCAAGCTGGGGGGTGGTGAGGGTTAGTTTCTCGCACAGACTTCAGAAGTAAGCGTGCTTTTTTGATGTCACTAGCAAGGGAGAAAATACATAGGTGACAACTTAATATTCTCCTACATCACAGCTGTTATAATTTCACAGATATTACCATAACTGAAATCCTGTTCATCCTCATGTAAAGTTATGCCAGCAGAGACCTGCCAGATGTTACAGCCAGGCAGTTCAGATGATGTAATTAGATTGCACAATTGATTTTATCCGTTGTGCAGCATTTATGAATAATTGCACTTTCCCCTAACATTGTCACTGTTTCTTGTTGTGCACACTAAACTGCACAAAAGATTTCACTCCATTAATGTTTACCAATGGTGAAATATTGTCCTGGTAAAAAACTACTGAAGCAGCTAAAGGCGTTTTTTGCTTCACCCAAACTGACATTCAATCTTAAAATCTGTACTTCTTTACTTAAGGCAATACTGCTAATTTAATCCCTGCCCATGTAAGAACCAAAGCAAACTAACAAAATTGACAGTAGGGCAAGGTTTCCACTCCTGGAAGAGAGAAACATGACCGTCTATTTGGACCATTCCATCTCAACTGCTTTCTCTCCTTTCTACTTCACAAGCAAGGCCTGGGCCCTAGAGAAATGCTTTTTGCACCATTACAGTCCTACCTTGAGCCCTAACAAAGGCAAAATCTAATAGGCAAATCAATGCAACCTCCTCCTGCCACACCCTCAATCTTACTTGATATCTCCACCATGTGTGGGTATCATGGAATTCAAGTCGGTAAGATAGCCCTTGGGATCCACCACTGTTTGGCCGCTCACAGAGTCCGACACCTGAGAAGTTAAGTATTTATTAGTATTCAGCAGTGAACCAGAAGAAACATTCCAGCAGACACAAAGAACATTTTAAGAGCAAAGCACGATGAACATTCTTCCATAAAGAACCACAGAAAAGACCACTTTGTTGGTCAGAACTGGACATTTCCCCCTCTAGCCCTCAAAATATAACACAATATACAGTTGGAAGACAAAAATAATAATAAAAATTTGAAAACCAGTACTGTATTCCACAATGGCAAACACTAGTTCTCTGACAGCCAAACTTGGGAGATCTAACACCTTAAGACCCAAAGACCTTTGCCAGGCTCAACAATCTACACAACATACAATCATCAATTTCAAGGCGTATTTATTTCCCGAGATCTAACACCTTAAGACCCAAAGACCTTTGCCAAGCTCAACAATCTACATACAATAATCAATTTCAAGGCGTATCTATTTCCTGTGCTCCTTACCTGGCTGAGCCGCATATCCATCAAGGTGTTCCTTGCCTGACCAATCTTCCTCATGTCCAGCTCACCTGTCCCAGGTGTCATTAGCCCAGGTGTCATTCCTCCTGGATAAGGAGTGTTTAAACCCCCAGGATAGGGAGTATTCAGACCACCAAACTGCTACAAGAGGAAAAAGTGCGGAGACAGGGTAATGTATTTTTTACTGAAAGACCAACAAGGCAAACAATTCTCAGCAACCTGAGCTCTTAGCTTTATACAAGAGCAAAGCATCCATCAGGTGGATGTGGAAAGGTGTATTACTGGCATATTACCGAGACTCTGCCACAAGATCCCCATCAATTAGTAAAGGGAGAGACCTGTTTTCGCTAGTACACTGCTCTACTTTCTTCCGTCTCCATAAATGGCATGAGTATGCTTAGCCTTATCTAACCTAAGGGCTCAACTCACTTCTTCCTACTCATCAGGAACCCTTGGGAAGACCTGGTGGAGCTTTCTGATCATAGAAGACCAGGGCTGGAAGGAACCACAGGAGTCACATTTTCACTATGATCTGCTTAGCTTTACTGTTTCACACTTACAGTCCTTACTCATACTCAAGTTTCTTGGCCACACCAGAAGTTAATAGAATTGTAAGCAATGCAATAGTAATCCAACAGAAGCAAGCCATATATATAGATATAGATAAGCAGCACGCTTTTGCTTTAGATAGCTAGATAGCTAGCTAGATAAAGATACAGATATAAATAGATTACATACCATTGGACTGTTGGTGACTTCTCTGAACTTGAGTAACACCCAATTAAACAGAAAAAAAAACTATGCTATCCTAAAATCCATTAACTACCAAGGACATTATTACTGAACAGCTGCTGTGGATTATGCCCAGTATGGGAATTTAATTATCTCTCCTAGTTCTAACTCTGGAGAGAAGTCTTTAACTGTTTTAAATTTCTGATATACTTCAATGACAAAAGGTGAGCAAATGCACTGAAGTGATTGAAAGTATTTTTGCTTTCACTCCCACTCATAGCAAGCTGCCACATTAAGGCCAGGCCTGAGGAACTCAGAGACAGCACTTACAACCAGCAGTCTCACATGACCTAGTAGGTGTTAGGACACACTTTTCAGACTCTTTGTATGGAAGAATATGCTTTGAATATCATTCTTGCAAATATTTCAAGCATTTAACCCAGTTTTTCCACAGGTTATGACTCATGTTAACTCAGAACAAAAGCTATCAGAAGACTAGGCAAATAAGAATAACAAAATCTGCATGCACTGCCCCTGTTCATGCTCAAGGTTTGAGGGAGAAAATCCTTTCGTCTTCAGTGCTTGCCCCACCTTCAGATACTATCCCAATTAGGCTTTGTACAGATGACTGGAACTCAGTGCAGGCAACAGGAGGCCTATGGCTTGGAACAGCTACCTGCCTTCTGCACAACAACGCTGGCATGTTTATTTGAGTTAACTCCACAAGTCACGCTTTCAGATGAACCAGGTTTTACTAGTGTCCCATCAACACTTTCCTTTCCTCACCGTCTGTCTGGGATCCACAGATGTGTGATTTTCACCTGACTGCAAGTGCTTTGCAAAAAAACTGTCAGGAACAGGGGTCAGTTTCTCATAACGTGGGTTCCTTTGACGTTTGTTCCTAGCATCACCAACTTCAGGGATACTCAGCCACTCTTCCTCAGTAACTTCAGCCAGTTTTCTCTAGGAAGAATAAACATTATTACAGTACTGAATTCATTTCACCCACTTATTCATTTCACTGTCCTTGATTTCTCTGGCTTCTGGAAAACAGTATCCTTGCCTTTGCAAGGTTTCCTTTGGCTGCCTGCTTTTCTTACGAAAGGACATAAGCTTCCTTTCTCTTTAACACAGATGATGTTTGCCGCAGCCATGAAGACATCATCCCTCCATTCTTTTTTAAGTCAGGCATCTGTTTCCTCCAGCCCTTGAATGCCAATCTTTGTATTTCATCCCTCTGAGCACAACAGAGGCCAATCTGTCTATATTTGAGAAAGTTCATAGTCATGGTTCATTCTATGTTGGCTTCAGCCAACTGCTGGGCAGAAATTAAGGTGACAGATATAAGACCATGAAATTTGCTGTAACCTGACATTATGAGTTTATACTCTAATTTCAGCAAAATACAACTTAAAGTAACAATGTCAGTGCACTCTCTTTCATCCCCAACCACTTAAGTCACTTCTGTTTTGCAAAGGAGGAACAAAAACAAGTATTTTAAATCATGTATCCCAGAATGAAATTCTCCCAAAATCCATGTAGATCTTATAATATCACATCTTTTTTTTCTGTTCTCCCTCTGCTGCCGCCAAAAAAAAAAATTGGTGGTGCACCTCCTACACTTTTTAAAATTTCATTATTTCTTTCCTTACTTTCAGATCTGAGAATTGCTGCTGAATCTTTGGTCGTTCCATTCGGTACTTCTCAATCTCCTCTTTCTCGCGTTGTTCTCTAGAAAATAAAAAGTACAGTAAACAGCAATTAGCTGAGGCTAAACATCTGAATCAGAGATGCAAGAGCTTTAATTCTAACAATGCCCTGAGCAGCGTGTAAACACAAGAAATGCAGGGGGTGGATTAAAAAATAAAAGCCTCAGATTCAAACAGCCAGTTAATGGTATATCACAGACTGGAAAAGCAGCCTTACCGTCTTTCCTTTCTCCTTTCATCCATTCTTTTATCCAAAGCAGCATAAATTGCATCTGCTTCTTCATCATCTTTCTCATATGGCCCACTGGAGAACAGACTTCCAGCATATCCATTGAACTGGGAATGGCAAATTAGTGGCGTTAACTACGAGAACCCTATTCCAGCCCAATAAACAAGCCTAATTTAACAATGAGCTTCACTACAACAATTCAGCTGAATAACTAAGTGAGGTGGAACACGTGGCACTGGAAATAAGGGCTAGGAGTTCACTTCTCCAATGTGCCTCCCAAGAGAAGAACTAGCCTGTGTGGTCTTGGGCACATTACTCAGAGACACAGCACTACTAGAAGAAGAGAACAATAAATCATTTCTGAGTCCTTTATACAGTATCTCGGACACCCTGAGAAGGGCTACTATAACTTGATGGCATACAATTATTATTAGAATAACCCACCAAAAAGTGAATTATATAACATGGACATTACAAATAAAACATCTTCAGTTCAACCTCTTCCATCACTGGTTAAAAGAGGACCAGGCAAAAAAACTTGAAAATATCTCTGTCAAAGACCTTGGAGAAGAAATGTGGCCCAATAGAGCAGACACTCTCAGCTGAAAGAGCCTGTGATCCCAGCATAATGTAGATTCAATCTTCAACATCAATCAGTGCAACAAGGCCACAAAGGTTTTACCTCGTCATAATTGGTATCATTCAGATCTTCATCATCATCATCTGCTGCCTGGTTTTTCTTCATCTGATCTCCAACAGTCCTCTTCCCCGGTGGAGCATGACGGTCATCCACGGGATCATTTGCATCACGAGCAGGACCAATATCGGAACGGGTAGTAAATCCCGTAGCACTAGACAGAAATGAAAGAAACCAACACTATATGAGAAAATTCTAAAAGGTTACTGGATAAAGGTTCTTCAGATCTCATTAAACATCCTTCTAAACACAAGCAGACAGAGAACTACTGATTGGTGACATAGAAGACTCACTTTGAGCAACGTTTGTATAAATTCAAAGCACTAATCTTTTCTTTCTCAGATAATCAGTATGACACAAATGAGTGACACAGGTCCCAGAGAAAGCACTCTTAATTTTGGGGTGTACAGGACAACCTTCGTGGGCTTATTTCCAAATCTGTCATGTCCACAGAGTTAAGCCACATAAGCAATTTCTCCCACACAAGATCAACAGTAGCTTCTTCTCAATCATGTGTAGCCATGATTACTGAGGACAATGTTAAGAGTAATTCAGGAACCCACCTATGGCCAACGCAGCTGCTAGTGCAAAATTACCAGCGCATGTATCCCATGCACAAGGTCAGTTCATATCAACAGGATCCCCAGAAATCATAATCAAGGACATTATCAACACCATGGACAATCACAAGCGCAGTCTCACCTCCGCAGAATTAAACCACAGAAAACCCTGAGAGAATGTCTATAATTTTAATTTCATCTTTTCCCCTCAGGATCTCCACTGGCATAAGTTCCTAGTTACAAATGTATAGTCTTTTGCTGCATTTGCTTCAGAATGTTGTTTCTCAAGCAAATTTCTGTATAGTGTGTGTGTGCATGTTTTTTTTCCTAAAAGAAAAGCCACCTTAGTGTTAGGAAAACGGCACGGAATCTATACAAAAACGTATCCATAACAACTATGAACAGAAAGATTTGACTGCACATACGCGCATCCGAGAGATGCTGGAAATTTACACACAATGATGATGATGATGCATTCTTTTATTGGCCTTCTACGGGCAATCCAAAAAGGGCTTTCCTATCAGAAAGCAAAGGCACTCTGCACATGCATAAGGTACCTGGCCCTTTCCAAAAGCAGGAGGAAAGTCACAAAAATATTGCAGCACTTTAAAGATTACGCTTTTTTCTTTTTACTGTGAGCCTTCGCGGCTCAAAACCCATTCAACTCACAGGGAAATAAAAACCTGTTTAAATCTTAAAAGCGCTACAATATGTTGCCTTCCTTCTCTAAACAACCCCCACCCTTTTGTTTTTCCTTCTTTCTTTCATGTTGAGACAGAGCCACGGAGCTACCTCCTCGGGAACCGGCTCTCGGGAGCGCTTCCAAAGTGTGGCTCAAGAGGGCAGGGACTCTGCTCATGCTCAGAGGCCCTCTTCCTCGAGCTCTACCATTTCGAATCCTAGGCCAGACCCCGGGCCACTTCGGTCTTAAGGGGAAAGAGGGCCTTCGTCGCCGTCTCCGGTCACCCACTCGGGCCTCCCTCGCCGCCCCCGACCCCGGTGGTGCTCACCCGCGGCCCAGGCCCGGCACGTAGCCCAGCGGGGCCGGCATGCCCAGGAAGGGCTTCTTTTTCCTGTTCATGGTGCCCGTCAGCGAGGCGGTCAGGCCCGAGGCCCCGCTGCCGCCACCGCCGCTGCCGCCTCCACCCGAATGCCTTCCACCTTTCCAAATATTATGGTCTTTT